TGCTCCGGGCGGGGGGCGGGGGTGATGTGGTGCAAGAAAGTGCAAAGAAACGTCATGGGCTGCTAAATATGACCCAACCAAGAACTTTCTGTAGTCTTGCTAAGCTCCCCAATCCAAAGGAAATTTTTCAACTACCGTACGTTTGTTTGGTGGGAATTAAAATTATATTTTTAGTAAATTTTGATAAAGATTTTTGAAATGTGTGGCTAAAAGTTGTGAAATCCATGAAATATACTGTTAATGTTAATTGTTTGATTTTAATTTAAATTAAACTTTGATTTAAATCAATATCATTATCAACATTCGTATAGCCCCTATTTGACAATCATTATTTTGAATTATTATTTTTTTTACTCGTTTTTAACTAAATATTTACATATTAAATTTTCTACACTATTCAAAACATTATTTTTAAAAAAATAATGTTCACCAAATAGGGGCATAATGCAGTCTGAAAAATAGAAGTAATAATTCGCAAGTCCAATTTATGAATTATACCTAGAAGTCTAAATAGCTGATTTGAAAATCTCTGTAATTCAATTTGACTGTTCAAATTGAAGTTGATTCAAGCCTCGTGCTATGTGGGACTCACATTGAGAATGCAACTCATCTCTAAAGTCAAAATTTCTTCAATCGAGTTAATTTGGTACACGATTTCTTCTATAGAGAACAAATTAATACTACCGACAAGGAGGATATCAACAATATTGTCAAATTAAAATTATTTTGGATTTCACCAGAACTAAAAGTAAAAGAGAGGAACTCATAATCTAGACGCCATCAACTTATATAAAATTCGAGTCGCGTGGTTTGATATTTCTCTATCTTTGACTTCTCACGAAGAAGTGGAGGAATTATTTATTGAGCAAAATCTTGCAGTTAGGCACTTTCTTGTGGGGCTCAAAGGCTACAAAACTTATCAGCTAAGTGAAAAAGTTCACATATAAATAATTCAGTTTTAAAATATTTTTTTTATTAAATTTGAAAATAAGTAATTTATTGTTATAGTAAGAGTTACTGTAGAAGAAGAAACGTCAAATATGCTATTATTAGAAATTAAAAAATTCATGGATAATTAAACCAAAAATAAAAAATAAAAAATAGGTTGGTTTAATCTTCTTGTTTCTTAGCATTAATCGATTTTAATCTTCTTGTTTCTTTAGCATGAAACACCTTTCGGGAAGATTTCTATATTCAAAATTTTCATTTTGTTTCATGATTAGGTAATTTTGATGCACTATTAATTTTTAAGGTGCAATCAAGGCCTAGATCAAGTGGTAAAAGTGAAGCCTTACCATACAATAAATTTGGATTGAGAGACTTCTAGAGAGAGCAGTTAAAAAATAATAATAATAATAAATAATAATAATAAAACAAAATCTAAAGTAGCTTGGTTGAAATCTCTTAATATTAATTTCAGCACGCTGATGATATCATGGATGACATTGATGTCACATTTTGTAGACTTTATTTCTTGAAGAAGGCTATTGATAGTCATAAAACTATCCCTTATTTCTTTATATATATTTTTCGAATGCCAATTCTTTTGCTAACATTTATAATATTATTCGGAAAATGTTCCTCTGTCAGAAAAATTGCTGACAGAGGACTTGACACCCTCTCACAACTGTCGGGGTCCGCATGAACAAACAATTGGGAGGAAGAAGTGACCCCACCCCCATATATGTATGCAGGTCAGTCATTCTGTCATGTATTTTTTGACAGAGGAGCATTGTCCATATTATTCTCTTGCACATACTACTTTTGTTTAAGATGGAACTATGGTAATCAATTGTCGCCATTTTACACTGTATTTATCCTTATGTGAAACTGTGCTGCTAGATAATTTAAAAATTTCCACACAAAAATTGTTCATTGATGAGATTTGTTCATTGTCTTTTAAGAAGTCAAGTCATAATTCTAATAAATTTGTACTTTGCCTCATCATTATTCTGTGGGTCACGGATAAACTTATAACAATTAAGGTTGAGACATGATCTTGTGTTCAAATTTTACTAACTTTGTGCTGCCACCCATTATTTGGAAAATTAAAGAATTTTGAATACTAATTTTTAGAGAATATGTGGTTAAAAAATAAAGAAACTTTATTAATTTATGTATAAAATATTTTATTTTGTAAATTTGTGGTGAAAAATGATACTGTAGCAAATAATTTAAAATTTTAAAAAGGGCCAAACAAGCACTAAATGCACAAGGTTAGTTCCAAGTTATATATTTTTTAGACATGTTTTTAAGAAAACTAGTTCTTTCTATGTGCACTGCACATTTTAGGTATATAATAAAAGAATTTGTACTTATGTCCATAAAAGGGAGTTTGATGAGAATTAAAATTAGAGTTTTTAGTCTCCGTTTGCCTTTCATTAAATTAAATTTTATTTTTTTATCTCCTATTTTCAATCACACAATTTTTCATAAAATAATATTACACGTATTCTTTTTTTTTTTTTTAATTTTTTTCAACCACTCATTCTCCAAAAAAAATATTATTCTCTTCATTTTAATTTTAAAAAAAAAATAGGGGGCCAAACAGGGGCTTAGTAGATTGTGATAAAAGTTTTTGAAATGTGTAGTTGAAAAGTTGTGAGACCCATGAAAAGAAGTGGTTAATATTGATTGTTTGACTTGAGTTAAAATCAAATTTTAATCCGTATCAAACATACTCTAAGTATTAGAATTGAAAAAGATGTTCAACTAAAATTATCTTAGTTATATGCGTACATAATAGTATTTTATAAAACTATATGATGATATGAAAGAGCATCTCTAATTGTGTTCTAAATTAGATATAAATTGTGATTTTGATTTTGAAAGTGGCCGAAAACCTCTTCAATGAAGAAATTGTTAAAAAAGATGTAACTTTACATCTACTTTTAGATTTATCTGTGATACTCACAAAAGGCAAAAAGCTATCGACCCACTTGCATCCAACTTTTTTTTAGATCTTCTCATTAGACCAAAATTTAAATTTAGACCACTAAGACATAAATGGGGATGCAAAAATAGTTTTAAATATGCTAATTTAGACAATCACAATGCTCTAAATATTTTAAGGTTACTATGCTAATATGAGTAAAGCAAACCGCTTCAATTGTATAAATTATGGAACCATAGTTAAACTGGACGACATTGTTTGTGCTTTTTGTTGATATTTAGATTCTTTTTGAATGAACCAAATAGCATAATTATAATTACGTGTTTAAAAAAAAAACACACACACACACACATTTATATATATATATATATATTCCAATTATGTTTGACAAAAAGAAAAAGCTTTTACTTTTCAAACCTAAAATAAAATATGGGAATGAAGTTATCTGAGCAAAGGAACCAAAATCAGAAACACGTCAGGGAACATCCACCATATATTTTGCACACGTGTCTTTATATATATATCTAAAAAAAAAGAGGTTGAACCCAACCTTAAAGGTCCCTCACAGCCCCGTCCCTGGAGTATCGTGAGAGAGGTTAATCGAAGGATGTACCCCAACAGACCAGGGAACAAAAGCTGTCTGTATACTGGTACCCATAAAGAGTCTCAATCCATATTTCAGGAATCGAATCCTCATACTACGACTGTTAGCAAGACTGAATATACCTCACCTTTATCTTTTGCATCACCGAGATATTCCTCAGAAGGCACGTGTCATTATTTATCATCGCTACCTACACCGGCCGAAGACAAATAGATCCAATTAAATATTTAAGAATATATGTTTCAAAATGCTTAATTGGTCACCCAATTAAAAATAAATAAATAAATAAATAAATAAATAGAGAGAACCAAATAACCAAAATACATAAGAGCACAAAAAGGTAAAACAATGAGGTATTTTTTAAATTTTGCCTTTTATATTTGTTTATCATGCTTATTCAAGGGACAATTAAGTCTTTTTACTCTTTCATAATAAATTTGTTGATCATCATCGAGATAAAATATGCTAAGTAATACAAGGTTGAAGATAAAATACAACAAAAAATGGGGGACACTAGAGAGAAGACGAACACAAATTTGGGATGATTATTGGAATTAAAATGTGATGTAATTAATAAAATTTATTGTATTAACATAATTATCTCAAATATTTCTCCACAATCTGCACTTTTTATATATCGCGGTAAATGTAGATGTCAAATTGCAACTCCTTTGAATTTGATAGATTCTTATCAAAATTTCACATAAAAATATTTTACAGTTCAATTTTAAATTTAAATTTAAATTTGTTTATTTATTTTTTTTGGTCAATTCACATTTTCAGGCCAATCAGTGAATGAATATCGAAAGAGAAAGAACAACGAAAATTGTCTGAAATATCAAAAAGGGAGAAAGAATAACAAAAAGTGTTGCAGCATAAAATATCTTCAAATTTTAGTGGCTCATGCATAATATGCATCATACCACATTACATACGATTACAAACCTCAAAATACACGAAAAAAAAAAAAAAAGAGTAATGTCATCTAAGACTTGTTTGATACTGATTTAAATTTAAATTTAAATCAAAATCAATAATTAATTTTAACAACCTATTTATTAGATCCACAACGTTTTAATTATTATCTACTAAAAATCTGATTTTGTTTTCAACAAAGAGGGGCTTAATTTAAGTGGTGCTAAACATAGGTCAATATGACATTAAAATCCACTACATTCAATTGATTAAAAATTACAATTTCTTAACTAATAAGTAAGAAATTATTCGGAATCACTTGGGCCAATGTCACGTAAATCGATGTTCAATACCACGTAGACAATAAGTGTCCAATTTTTTATTTTTTATTTTTTTGCTACTTCTCGATTGATCCATTGTCATGTAAATCAATACTCGTACTCGACACCATTTTTTGGAACAATGATTGACTCGAAACCACAAGCCAAAGTAACACTCCCAAGTGCCACCCACTTGCATCCAATAATTTACGTCATTATTTCATGAGTCAATCATATTATGCATTCAATTTCAAATTCAGACTCAAATGTAAATGGACATGTACGTAAAATTGGACAATTTGAAAAATCAAAATAAAATCAATTTTTGACATCCGTGTTTTCACTCCTTTCTTTTTCAATCTGGCTAACCGGCCTTATTCTTTGGCTAACTGGCTTTATTCTTTCATCGATAGTCTTGTGAGTAGTCTCGTGGAGCTCATTTGGGCAAAAACAATGGCTTTCTCTGGCACATTGCGATGCCCACCATCTATTTGCCGCCTATCAAATTCGATTCAATCTGTATCTCCTTCTTCGCTCTCTTTCCGTTTTCCACCTTCAATTTTCAATAGCAAAAGGTCCCTCTTGTCCATCAGGTCAGCTTGGGTGGAAGGTAAGCTTCTTGAATACATACACGTGGAATTATATCAATTTATCGAGTTTTAGTTTTCTTTTCTATTTTGGATGATAAAATATAGAGAATAAGTGAAATACTTCAAGAGTTTTGGTGAGACGACTTTTTTGCCTCTGAATGTTTGATTTATTGCCTTCGTGATTCAGTGAAAATCTGAAGCCGGTGGCGTCGAAGCCTTTCTCACATATTCAAGCCTTAAACGAGCTTGAAAATAATATGTTTATGAAGAAATATATTCATGGATTGTGAATATTTTTTTGAAATGACAGTACAAGCATGGAATACACTGTGAAGTGAAATTTAATAAAGGGAGGAGATAAGAAAACATTGAGGCTTTGGGAAAGAAAATTTCAAAAATAAATATATAATATATTGTTCTTCAAGAGTGAATAGTGATGATCCAATCTGGTTATTGATACTTCCTCTTGTTTAATAGCATGTTTGGCTTAATATAAAGGCCAAAAAGTTTTGAATATGCTCGGTTCATAAAAATGTTTATTGTTTTTGGATACATTTGGCGCACAACAGTACTATGATGAGTAGTTGTTAGAATTAGGATGGACAATAATTAAGTGAATTAATGTGTATCTTGCTACGCCATATTAGAACAATTTTACGTTCCTTCACTAGCCTTATCATGCTATTCATTTTTTTCTGTTAATGCTAGCCTCACGCTCACTAGATTCCCCGAAAAGAAGCTGTAGCACCTCAAAATAGCATGTTGTGCTTTTAGTCAAAGCCATCTAAATGTTCTACTCACTGAATACTTCTTGGTGAAATTCTCTATATTCCTCTTCTCCCTTTAGAAATAGAAATCATCAGCCAATCACCACTGAGCCAACATTCATCTGGGGTGGAATGCCTAATCCTCCCTTATCTTTGTGCCTTCTTTAGATAAAAGTTCAAATCTTGAGTGGTGGGCCTCTGTAGTTGTCAAATCAAGCTGTTACCTCTAAATTTCTGAAATGTATTTGATACAGTATGCTTTTATCTTTTGAACAGTTTATGGGAAATTCTTGTAACTTTGATGACATGTGATGTGTTAATTTCACTCCTTTGAGCTCCCCCAACCCATCAATACGCGCAAAAAAAAAAAAAAAAAAAAAAAAAAAACACCTGTATCCCTAATAACCCTTATTTATGATTGCCTATTCATAATCTGTGGACATTGTTATCAACTGCTATAAAATTTGATCAGTTGTATATGGATTAGTTTATTTCATTCCAGTGTGATTCAAAACCTTATATACATTTTTGTAAACTGTCAACTGTCCATTTTCATTGAGGAAGGTAGGTGAAAAGTCTGTAAATTCTTGGCTCTTCTTTGCATTAGGGATTTTCTAAATACACCCAATTTGTCAACATAATTCACCTAGATGGCATCCATCTTATGCTTGATGGATCTCCGACAACTAAAATTCTTACATAAGAGGAAGGTATGATCTCAAATGAATTTGAAAAACGAATTTAGTATCCTATCGTAATTTAAATGACAAAAAGATGAAGCTTCGAATTAAATGATGCATAACTAGAACCAGTTTGATTGAGCTCCATCCAATCGTTTTGTTTGTGTATTGACATATAAGACATTATAGTTTCTTTCTATATGTGTTCTGCCTTCTACCTTCTTAAATACGGCAAATAGTTTATATTGAACCACGCCAAGACTCATGAACGACAAGAACCATCAAAGAGGAAAATTCTACCAAACTTAATAACTTTCTGAAATGTGAAAGAACATCGAAAAGAAAAAAAATCTAGTAGTTTATCGAACTAAACTTCTTGGAATTTTTAGATAAACGTCAGAGAACCAAATGTAATATCATACAATAGTTCTCTTGTTTAAGGCATTTGTGTATGCATGGCTTACACGTTGCAATGACTGCATGAATAAAGTTATGGTTACTGGTATGCTAATGTGCTCGAATTGAATCTTCGAGTTTATCTAATAGCCTCTTTTTTGTTCTAGCACCACCTACATCTGGAGGACTTGCACCTGCGATTTCCTTGACGGACAATGCATTGAAGCACTTCAATAAGTTGAGGTCTGAAAGAAATGAAGATTTATGCCTAAGAATTGGTGTCAAACAAGGAGGATGCTCTGGCATGTCTTATATTATGGATTTTGAGAACAGAGAAAATGCTAGACCCGATGATTCTGTTATTGAATACAATGGATTTGTTATAGGTATGACTGCATATTCATTTAGTTCCTTGCAAGGAATTTAAAATTGAATCCTTCTGTCCTGTTGCACTTGTCTGTACTTAGTCAGAACCTGCTGTCGATAGTATTTGAGTGGTAAACATGGGCATCCATCCAGTGAGAGAAATAAATATTATGAGCACAAGGTCTGTCCCTGACATTCTGCAGTTGGTGATATAAATAAGACCTTTAAATTGCAAACCCGAGCCTGTTATAGTTCTCTAAAGGCAACAGTTGTTTGAATTGAACATTAACATGTAGAATGAATGAAAGGATACTTTTTGATATATAAAACCTATACATAAGTACGTCATTTGAGCATCAGATTAAATAGCATGAAGAGTACTGCATATTTTGCACTAGTTACTTAATCTGTTATGAAGAATGGCTATGATGGAAGAGTGAGTTCATTTTTCTTTTATCTAGCATTATTATCTTTGACATAGCAATGATGCAATCAAAACCATGTTTTTGAGTTGAAATTTCTATGAGCTGTTTTACTTGTGAAGTAAAATAAGTGTTTAAAAGTTACGGATTTGTCGATATCTCTTTGAAATTTCTTTTGTTTGTTCCACAGTATACTATATCACATGATGCCCTCATTGAAGTCTTTTTTCGTATCAGCAAAACTGCTATTTATAACGGGATAAAAACTATACTGGCCACTGAACCGGTCACTAAACTTTTACCAAATTTTAATCCTTGTTTTTAACTTTATTTTGTTCAGCGAAGTTCAAAGAACTAATTCTGTGTGTAACATAATTCTTTCTGGTTGTCTCTACCTTTGGATGGTATTTCTTTGCCCCCTCTCTTTTCATCTTCTACATTTGGCTGCTGTTGATTTTTTTTATTTTGCTTTCTCTGACCATGCAGTTTGTGATCCAAAAAGCCTTCTCTTCCTTTATGGTATGCAACTGGATTTCAGTGATGCACTCATTGGGGGAGGCTTTAATTTCAAGAACCCAAATGCTACACAAACCTGTGGATGTGGTAAATCATTTGCTGCAGAAATGTAAGGTTGTATACTGTATAATCTAGCCTAGAATTGGTATAATGTACCAAAACTTGGTCGAAAATGTATTGTTATGTAAAGTGTGCCCGTATGTCTCTACATTGAAACTTATTCAACTTGTTGGATGCATATTTGACGATGACCTTAGTCGTCTTAATATTGGACATGGCGAGAGAAGAAGTGTTAATTCTTTTTCTTCTTCAATATTGTCTAGAACTATCAAAGTTATCGTACAAAACATATTTGATAGTTTTCGTACCATACTAGATGAGAGATGGAAAATGATGCACCATATATGGATATAATAGTTTTGCTTAAAATTACTTTGGCAATCTGTATAATAGGTATAAGAAGGATAATACACAAGCAACATGGATACAATCTAATAAGTATGGGACTAAAAATGTAAGTTCTTTGCAATTCATGTGTGAGTAAGACCCCGTTTGGTACCCATTTTTGTAAGGATGATAATGAAAAACATAGTCGTTATGGGACCAGTTTTTTAAACCTTTCAAATGTTTGCGCTAATGGTCATCTTTAGATGGCAAATGTCGACTGTTAAAAAGGTTGACTTTTGAAAAATGAATGTTTTACTCCTAGTTTGATTTAAAACAAATAAAAGTAAATTGCAACTAGGATTCCAAACTTTTTAATATTGTGATGATGATGAATCTCGAACCTTTGCGTGTATCTGGGAACAATTTTTATGGAAAATTTGACCGTTACTCAAGGTTAATGGGCCCCACATCTGCAAGAATTCTGGCAAAAAAAGGGGACAAAAGTTGCACCCGTCATTCAACTCTTCTTTGAAATGTCAAAATTATCCTTCTGATGGTATGAAATTTAAATAGTGTAGGGACACCATGATCTTTTCAATATAATTTATAATTGACCGGTTGGTGCAGTCAACAATTGTTGCAACCCTGTGGGCCTCTTTTCATGTAGATAACAGATGAAATTCTAATTATAATTTGAAAATAAGCTCTCTTAGACAATCCCTTTTGACTTCTAGTATCAGAGTTTCAAAGCGAGGTTAGGCATACTTGACCAACTAAACTTGATGAAGGAAAAGGAAACAAAAAAGAATAAAAAGATAAAACAAAAACAGTAAAGAAAAGGAAATTAAAATGAAACATCCCCAACACCTCCAACCCCACTCTCTCTACAGCACGCCACTGAAGGCATGGGAAGAATGAAGAATCTTCTTGCATTTTGGGGAAGAATAAAATTGTTGTTATTAAGTGTGTTTTAGGTTAGTAGCCGTGTTGTTTTATTGTTTTTGTTTTTTTTATCTTTTATTTATTTGTTATAAATTAACTAAAAGAAAAAATAGTCATTTTATCCAAATTTGACCTTTAATGATCAATCTCTCACGTTTTTCATTCAAAAAGAACACTGGCACAAACGATTTGAAAAGTTTGGACTGAAATACCAGAAAGAGAGAGAATAACAAAGATTGTTGCAGCCAAAAATATATCCAAATTTTGGTGGCTCATGCATGATATGCATACCACATTACATAGAAATTTCCAAAAGAAGGAAGCAATAGTAATGTTTGTTTCAAGTAGTACTTGAGTATTGATCTACATGACATCAAGTCTATTGCATTCAATTGATTAAAGAATAATGTTATCTATTAAGATAGCATTAATGCATTATTAATACAACAACATTAATATATAGTTTAATCAATTCTTGAGAATTTATTATCTGACGTTTCTAATATATATATGTATATTTAAAGAATAAGATTACATATATACTCATAAAATGTTATGAAATTTGTTAGTCATAATTGATATATAAGTCATTTTTACATAGTTAATTTTTAATTTAAAAAGTGAAATATTTACTTATAATTAAAATTTTAATTTATAAGTAATTTTTTACTTATAAATAAATTGACTTATAAGTAAATTTTTTAGTTAGTGTATTTTTATTTTATATTATGTTATATTACTAGATTGATTTTATCATAATTATGTCGGACTAACACTTGAGATCATTTCGTTGGTAATTGGGCCAAAAATATTTTCCAACTTTCGAATCACAATTTGTAACTCATTTTGATAGTCTGATTCTGATAATATAATCTGGTAAAATGGCATAACTCCAAGCAACGTTTTTGTATTCACTCCTACACATCCAAAAATTTATTTATTTCTTTGAATGAAGTAAAGCGGTAATGGTGCTCAATATGTTTGATTAAATGCCTGAACCAAGCTCCACCATCAAGGTAAGAGGTATCTTAATCTTATTATGAATTACAGTCCCGTCCTAACTGCCAAATCTCGCCACCTCTTCGCTAAGCTCCTCGACTACACCCAAGGAAAAAACCTTCCAAAAGGCAAGTCCCTCCACGCCCACCTCCTCAAAACAGGCGTATTCCCTTCCTGCTCATTTATGTCCAACACCCTCGTCAACTTCTATGCCAAATGCCACCTCTTCTCCGAAGCCCATCTCGCCTTTGTACAAATTTCATACAAGGACACTGTCTCATGGAACTGCCTCATCAATGCCTACTCTCAATTGAGCCTTCGCTGTTACTCTCTTTCGGCTCTCGAGCTCTTCAAGCAAATGCTCCAACACCACACCCTCCCTAACTCCCACACTTTTGCTGGCATTCTATCTTCTGCTGCCATGTTGGAAGACTCCATGATTGCCCAGCAAGCCCATTCTTTCGTGCTTAAATTGGTTGACTCCTATGATGTTTTTGTGTATAGCTCTTTGTTAAATGTGTACTGTAAGTTGGGTGATTTGATCAGTGGTCAAAAAGTGTTTGATGAAATGGCTGAAAAAAATTCAGTCACTTGGGCTACTATGATTTCTGGGTACGCCTCGCAGAGGCTTACTAAGGAGGCTTTTAGTGTTTTTAGAATGATGACAGCTGGAGGAGGTGAGGGTGTGAACGAGTTTGTGTTAACTAGTCTTCTCAGTGCTTTAGTGTCCTCGGAGTTTGTGGATACAGGTAAACAAGTTCATAGTTTGGCTGTTAAGACTGGATTGTTGTCAATTGTTTCTGTGGGGAATGCTGTTTTAACCATGTATGCAAAGTGTGACAGTTTGGATGATGCCGTTCAGGCCTTTGAGCTTGCGATTGCTAAAAATTCAATCACGTGGTCTGCCATGATCACAGGTTATGCACAAGGTGGGAAGAGTGAGAAGGCATTGACATTGTTTAAGGAGATGCATCTCTGTGGAATGAAACCTAGTGCATTCACCCTTGTTGGCGTTCTCAATGCTTGCAGTGACAGTAATGCAATTTACGAAGGAAAGCAGGTGCATGGGTATTTAGTGAAAATAGGGTTCGAGTCTCAACTATATATTATGACTGCTTTGGTTGATATGTATGCTAAATGCGGTAGCATAAATTATGCGAGAAAGGGATTTGACTATCTATTAGAGCCAGATCTTGTATTATGGACGTCTATGATTGGAGGCTATGTACAAAACGGAGATAATGAGAGTGCTATTAATTTGTACTGTCGAATGCAGCGCGAAGGAATTGCACCCAATGAGCTGACTATAGCCAGTGTGTTGAAGGCCTGTTCAAGCCTTTCAGCATTGGAGCAGGGAAAACAAGTACATGCTCATGTAGTTAAGAATGGGTTCAGTCTTGAAGTTCCGATAGGAAGTTCTCTCTCGACTATGTACGCAAAGTGTGGGAGCCTTGATGATGGCAATCTCATCTTCACGAGGATGCCTGCCAGAGATGTAGCATCATGGAATGCAATGATTTCTGGCCTTTCTCAAAATGGCCTAGGGATTAAAGCCCTTGAACTATTTGAAGAGATGCAACTGGAGGGTGCAAGGCCTGATTATGTTACTTTCGTAAACATTCTTTCTGCTTGTAGCCACATGGGATTGGTGGATAGAGGTTGGGAGTATTTTAAACTGATGTCCGATAAATTTGGTGAAGCTCCAAGGATAGAGCACCATGCTTGCATGGTTGATATCTTGGGTCGTGCTGGGAAGCTCTATGAAGCCACAGAATTTATTGAATCAGCTACCATCGAGCATGGTCTATGTTTGTGGCGCATTTTATTAAGTGCTTGTCGAAACCATCGCAACTATGAGTTGGGAGCCTATGCGGGGGAGAAACTAATGGAATTGGGCTCACAGGAATCATCTGCATATGTGTTGTTGTCAAGCATTTATACAGCTTTAGGAAGATTGCATGATGTGGAACGAGTAAGAAGGATAATGAACCTTAGGGGGATAAGCAAGGAGCCAGGATGTAGCTGGATAGAGCTGAAGAGTCAGGTTCATGTTTTTGTTGTTGGGGACCAATTACATCCGCAAATTCAAGATGTACGCTCTGGGTTATGGAGATTAAGCAAGCTAATGAAGGATGAAGAATGTAGTTCAATTTTGGAAGAATTGGTCTGAAGTAATTAAATAATTATGTCTTGGCTCAGCTACACCCAAGGAAAGTCATTTGAGACTCCTAAATATGCATCTTCATTTTCATAAATTGGGCATTCACTGCATAAGGTGTTTTCTTAGACGCTACTGGAGTGGGGAAACAGAAATGAAGGAATGTGGAGGTGGTGTTGTGGATTACTATGCTTTATATAGAATGTATAGTATGATTATCCGAAGACAGAATCAGGGACGTAGATTCCTTGCATGGAGTTTTTGATTCAAGTCAAGTGCTAATGATGTTAGCATTGGAGCTTTGTGTAATCAACATAGCCACAGTGAATTTCTAAGGAGTGTTTGATATGGTTTTTCTGTAACAATAGCAGAAAGCCGCCTGTTGGCTGGAAATAATTGGGACTGGATGTTCATACATAGGGGTTGAAGGAAGATGGTGAGGTCCTTGAACTTTTGTGCACAACACTAGTGGAAGATCTCTCTCTAACATTGAGCCAGTTGCATAGAAGATTACTTGTTGAAACCGGACTTGCACATGGATCCTATCAGTTGGACAATAGGCCAGAACTTCCAAATCTACATCCCTAGCGTTCTCAATGCAAGATTTGCTTTTATATGCTTCGGAACAGTCTAAAACAGAGTCGAAGTAGGATCCAGATGTTGATTCTTATATCACATATTGTGATAGCATTTATGCTTAATTTGTAGAAAAATTTATGTCCACTGAGTAAAGACGTACACAAGATATTATGTGACAAGATACTTGTAATTATGTGACTATTTTGCGATTATTTGTTATTTAAGCACAATGTGCAATATTAAATCAGTGCTAACAAGTGCCTAATTACTACGTTTAAGCAAAGATTTGCACCTTTGCAGAGAAGCCTTTTGCAAGAGGCCATATGCCTGGGTTTTTAAGGCTAAAATTACCTGCCTTTATAGGTCGACAGCCTGCCTCAGGCCGCCTGGCTTACATTGACACCTCCTATTTGTCAACACGAAAATTGCAATATCTTGTCTGGTTTAGCTAAAAATTAAGTTTGTAGTATATTTTGATAAAAGTTGATGAAATATATAACTGAAAAGTTGTTAAAAATTGTGAATCCCCATAAAATAAGTGGTTAAAATGGGGACCAACACAGGGACTTAAATGTAAGAGTTCCCATGTAGCAATCTTGCACTATAAAGTAGCCATGTAGTTTGGTCTGTCCTCATCAAGTAAACGGATATTAGGTGATGTTTTGGGTGTTCGTAAAGACTTCAAGGAGCTTGGAAGAGCATATTAATGTTGATAAGCACCAACTCCCATCTTCGCATGCCATGAGGCTTTGTAATACGGAACAAGCTACTTCTTTTGAGCTAGTATTTGTTCGATGTGAATAGCCCAATTTGTGACAATTCGATTTTTTGAAATTGGTTAAATTAAGTCCAAACACTTGACTTTTAATCAACTGACAGTTTTTTGGATAAAAATAGTTAGAGATCATTCTAACATACATTAACAATTATTAAAAATTCGAGATCGCATTGCACATTTTTGAAAAGTTTCTTCACTACAAAATTTTCAAGTATTAATTACATATTAAAAGACTATTTTGCCCTTTTAAAATTAGTTACATTATGGTCAAATGCTTGTTCTTTGGTCGACTAACGACTTTTAGACAAAAAAAAAAAAGAGTAATGCTATGTAATCTCACTGGATTGTAATCACAGTTTAGATGACGCTAGATGATATATTAAATGAAAAGTGGAACTAAATAACTTATTTAATTCTACCTATAATTTAGTGTTATGTTTGCGTCACCTAAATTGAGATTGCAACCCTAGTGGAGTTAAATAATATTCGACAAAAAGGGCTCATAATCCTTTTACCCCACAGTTTTGAAAAGTTTGGGATACATCTGTTATGATTTAAAGTTTAGGAACTATGTTGCACTTTTTTGAAAGATTTAGAACCTCCACCGAAAATCTCCCCAAAAGAGTTCAAATCTTATGGTTAAGAAGATGATTACGTTTAATGCTTAACAATTTTTTGTTTCCAAATTTCTAGTAATTTCTCCCAACTGATAAATTTCCAAACTCCATTTTTACCCATCTTTCATTCGCTTCTCTAACTGCTAACGACATGAGTGTTCTCAATTATGCATCAGCACCACCATCCACTTCCTTCAGTTCCAAATCCGCCGGTTTTGTACCCGACGGCCACCAGTTCGGCAAATTCTTCTTCTTCTTTGGCACCGGAAAATCCTCCCAGACAACTGCTCTTTCATCTCCCCAGTTGTCTAACTATTCCGCTTTGTCAGCTGCTGCGCTGCAGGATAAAAGCAATGATAACGGTGCAGTCACGGTTCTCACGGAGCAGGATGTAACTACACCGGTGAGAATAGTGGCTCTTGTGGGCGAAGGTAGCGTCAGTCCGCTCAATTCCTCGCCTTGGACGGAAGTCATGCGCCACACAGTGAGTATTCTGTATTATATTGGTTTCATTATAATTTCTGTATATTTAATTTTGTTAATTGGTATGCGTGAAACAAATGGTAGACGTGCTTTAACTTTGTAAGGCTATAAGTTTTGTAAGGCTTTCAAATCAAAACTTGCAGCTTAGTGATGATAAAAATGAAGTCGTGTAATTAAATTTGTTGCTTTCTGGATTTCCTTATTGGTATTCCAAATAAATTAAATTTCAAGCGTATAAGATATGATAAAAACAGTTAGTGGCATAAGTATTGGCATTTAGATGACTTTAATTGACATCTTGAATGTATGATTTAAGATTACAAACCAGTTAGTGGCGGTAAGTACTGCTTATGAATAGCAATACTCCTTATAAACTTTGAAATCCAGATTGATACTGTTTAAAGCTTAATTGTGTATTAATTTTTGTGCGACACTTGCAAGGGTTGTGGCTGGATAAGTATTGAAAGTTGAAGGCATAAATAATTCCTCTATCAAGACCTTTGATGTTTCAAAAGGATTAAGTTGTACAATTATACTTTTGGTTACCAAGCACAATTGAATTAACTCTTACTGTTCCAAGGAAGTTGAATGTTTCTAAAGGATAGTGTGAAACATTACAAATTAGAAATGTAAAGGCCTAAAATTATCCATCGGACTCTTGAGCTTTGTGTTGGGGTTGCATCAGAAATGCTCTGCCATATAGCGACTTGTGATACACTGTATTTAAGCTGTTATTGACAGAATATAATTTCTTTATTGTCGTGTTATGTAGTGCCACATCTCTATGCCCATTGATGTATTCTAAAATTTTTTATCTTTTGTTTTTACAATAAAAATACAGCATGCAATTACCTATATATAACTACTCTGTGAAATTTACCTACATTTTTAAAGTATTTTAGTTAGGGTTTGTTTGAGCCCCATTTTTCGGGGGAGTAGATTATGTAATAGTGATTTTTTTTTTGGATAGCGTGTATTTAAAGGTAGGGAAAAGTTTTGGGTTTACGTGTAAAATTATTTTATTAGGGGAATGTGTCGTTGAAAATGAGTTTGGGAGAATATGATTTTTTAAAGAATGTGGCTCAAATAGAGGTTTGGTATGATTGATTTGGGAAACTCAATCGTTTATGCTGATAGTATATACTGTTTTTAAATTTCAGAGTATTTAGCTCACCTTTACATTCATTCCATATAGTTCAGTTTGCATTTCTTTCTACATAATCATGCTAACATTTCTATTATCCAGCTTTCAACATAATCATGCTAACATTTCTAATATCCAGTTCCATGATCTCCTAGTGATTTTGATCCATTTACCTTTCTCTGATCTTATTTTGTTAAACTCGTGTCATGATATTTAAAATCCTTTAAGTCTTTCTCATTCTTTTCTAATGCATATAGGCTAAAAGATTAAAATGGGTTGATGAAGGGTTTGAAATGCTGGTGTTTACTGACAATTTTTATCAATCTAATGATGAAACAATGGGGAGGCTTCGAGAGGCATTAAAACTTGCAAATATTTTGATGATTGTTGCTGTTACAAATGAAGAGTCAGTCAGGTGGGTGCAGGCCAATTCCAAAATTGTCCCAAATGTCATATGCTTTGATTCTTCTCCAGCATTAACTAACAAATTGGGAGGCTGCATCATCCAAACAGAAACCCAAGGAAGTATACTCAGCAAATTACCATTAACTCAACCAAAAAAATTAAAGGAATCAGAGAAAATAGTTCGCACTGTATCTGAGGCTTGGGACAGACGTAATTCTGATGATATACGATTCTGTTTGTTGGTAGTAATAAATGCTTATATAAGGCCAGTTCCAATATTGCAGAACCTCCGGTCAAAGGGATTTTCCACATTGAACTGCATGGTAAAAAATTGTGGTCCTCAAATATTGAATTGTCTGTTAGATACAAATTGTAGGAAAGCTCTTCAATGCTTGAATGAGTGCAGTCCTGTAGATCAAGTATGCAACTATAAATGTATTGCTTCATATGAGAGTCCAAAACTAGAAGAGTTTTCTCTGTGTGTACTTCAGAAGCATAACTGTCTTGCACTGGATGCAAAAATCCCAGATAAACCTTATGTCACTCCAATTGGTATGTTTCGAGGAGAGAATATGTCTCATGAGATTGCTGAAGATATTTTCGTGGGGTGGTTGGGGAACTTGGATTGGAGTTGGCGGGTTGTAGCCGGGCAGAACCCAGCGTATGACCAGTTTCCTTGCCAGTACCAGTTGTTCTATAGGGGAAAGGCAAAAGGATCATTCTGGTATGAGCCAGTTTTTCAGGTAAAGACGATTGAGGGTGATCTCGTCTGGAGAAGACGAAAATATCGCGTTAAAAGAGGGAAAACTCCAGGGACGTTTTACTTCAGCGTATTGGACAATGGGGTCGTTTCAAATGAGTACTGGACAATCGTTGATGTTGCTGATGATTTAGGCTGGGGTTTGTTTCATTACCATGGAGCTGCTCGAGTTGCAGGACAGTCATATACTGGGGCAGTACTCGTTAGCCAAGACGGCATGTATCCAAACAAGAGTCATAGTGAGAGATTGGCTTCTGCATTGGATAGATGCAGTATTAAAGAGTGGGAGCTATTTACTGTTGATAATTGTTCGTGCCAGAATCCTCCTTTGGGTCTTCCTGAAGGTTCGAGTTTGCATTATCAGATAAAAGTTGGAGAAGATATCAAAGATCCATACTTTCAAGGTTAGAGGAAATATGGCAGATATCTTGTCACGTGGAATCATATGAAATGATAAGAGAAAAATACTGAATATATGAAGTTTCTGTTTATATATTATATGGATGGTATGTTCTACAGTTACAATATAATTAGGTATTCGTGTTGGATAATCCTATTCATGGAACGCTACCGGGAAAATTTGTTAAGTTGATTCTTTTATTACTTCATTCCCTGGATGTATTTCTTTGGACACGGGATTTTATGAATGCAAATCTGCAAGTTTGATGGCATGAATGCTACACCAGTCAATGTTGCAAAGTTATTACAAAATTAATGTGGTTTCCGAATAGAAATAACATCACCTCTTTCGCTTGAAGTGATAGGAAACTTTTCCACCTCTCAAAAAGTATTAATAAAAAATTGATGAAAGTAAATAGCTTCATATTGCACGTTATATTGTAACTAGGAGTGCAATTATACAAAACCACTGAGAGATCTAATGAAACCATATATGCATGGTGATTAATTTCCTAACAGATTATATATAACACTATATAAAAGCCTTTATTCTAACCCTAAAACATTGAAAGCAAAACCAACAATCCAGCAAGAATGCTTGTTCCTGTCTGCATCCACAGCTTTGTTCCAGCACTCTCTAACGCGATTGGAAAAAGACATTCTGATGTGGAAGCATTAGTCTTAACAATCTTTGCCAAACCCTGGAAATTACAGGCCTCCACATCCTGATTCTGCATTTGGAAATACATATTGAAGGCATAGGAAATGTTGGCCTGCACGCTGCCCAGTTTATTGCAGGAAGAACCATAGTTCAATGCTGTGCAATCTCCCATTGAACATGCATATCCTAGGTTGTCTGGAACAAGGGTCATGTTCTTCATGTCACCGTTGAACACGCACCACTCTTTTTCCATGTACTTAATGCCCTTTGCGCCTATCGGCATTTTATCGTTCCCTTGGCCGGTGAAATCCACTGGAAACTTGGGCTGTCCATCATACCGGAATACACCCCAATGGCGCTCAAAATCGCCCGGAGCTATGCTCTTTTGGTTCTCATCTGTGAGACTAAACAGATAATACTCGATATCTCCGGGATAAAGAGGGGTTCCCTTTTTTGTTGCCATTTTCTTGAAGAAACCATTGTAGAATTTTTTAGCCAGTTTAACATTGGCTTTGACGTGTCCCTCAGTTGGCCAACCAATCTCCCCAACAATGATTTTCATTTTCTGGATACCAACTTTTCTCATTGACCAAACAAGGGTATCTAAATTTGCATCAAACATATTGGTGTATGAAATTCCCTTGTCCTGAACTGGTTTAGCATCACCATCAAAGAAGGCAAATTCCATAGGAAAACCAGGATTATTGTATAGACTCAGAAAAGGGTATATGTTGACAAGAAAAGGCGAGTTATTTTCTTCAAAAAACTTCAGAATTTGGATCATATTTTCTTTTATGTCTGAACGGAAATTGCCTGCAGATGGAACATTTGATCCAGATTCATATACATCTGCATTTTGAGGTGTGGTTACTTTGATTTTGTCCCCATGGCCAGCTGCATCAAGAGCTTTCTGAATATTCTTTAATGCTGGGAAAGTAGTCTTTATATTTGAACCATTGTAAGCCTTCAAGAATGGCTCGTTTCCAACAGCAATGTACCTGTTAAGTCCATGCAAAACTCAGAATAGTATTCATCGAAACATATCATCTGGAAACTTAAAACTATTAGATGATGGAGACAAGAAGCTAGAATATTAGAAAATGGTAAGAAAGTTTCTTACTTGATCTTGACTCCTCCATTATATAAATGCTTGGTAACATTTTCTTTGACCCAATCTTTGGCCTTATCATAATCATTGGCAAGTTCAGCCAAGTGATTATTAGGAACGCCAAGCATGACCTCAATCCCGGTTCCTGCAAAGAATTTGACAGTCCAGTGATCTGAGTCAAACAGTTTTATCTGATCGATTTTGTTGTCCTTAAGCATTTGAATTATCGTGCTGGGTTGCATATTTTGTGAAGCCTGGGTTCCCCAATTCACGCCTATACCCTGTACGAGGTTTGGCGAAATTAAGAATGCAAGAAAGGCCCATTTTATCAGGACCCTCATACTGTCCATGGCTTCAACTGGGAATGAGAATTGATTCTGAATCAAATGAGGTTCGAATAGAGTAGACAGTTTTTGGGAATGGAATGCAAATTCTAGAGGTGGAGAATTGGGAATCCTTGGAATCCATTGGTTTAGAGGATTGATTAGAGGAAAACAAGGAGCGAGGGAAAAGGGTTATCTCAGGTTTTTTATTGGTTCATACTCGGTCCAAATGGAGATTTCAAACGTTAAGAGAAATTTTCGACAAAAAAATCATTAATTTTCCCGTAGATTAAAAATCCATAAATTCCATCTGTGTCTCAGAAATATAATAACTTAATAATCTGTGGCTAATTTTCATGCCATGACATTTGTATGGTTAGAAAATAAATTTCTTTAGTTTTGATCCATATATAACATTATTAATTTGAGCTTGAAATAAGAAAGGTGCGACAATCAATTTAGTACTTGTGTGACAAAGTTTAAAATTGATTTAAGCTCGTCAAACTCGATTTTCATACATACACTACAATTTTAATGATCCTTTATCATTTGTTAAAAAAGCTACAATAATTCTAATGGTAATAGCATAGTGATTACACGTAAGGATCTTAAGTCCTTTTAAACAAAATGGTAATTAAGTCCTTTTAAACAAAATGTTTACCATTAAGGACTTAGGTGTTAAAAAGCATATTTTAGGGATACAAGTTGCACATCCAAAGAGAGACATCTACCCTTTTAAACAAAAGAAATGTGTTTGATTTGCTTGGAATGACGAGAGAGATAGGAGTCAAACCATCAAACATGCCTGTAATTGACAATCGAAAAAGATGATAAGAATGGTAAATTTTTCTTAAGTTTTATTTGAGAGTATTCCCAAAAGTCTCGAAGAGAGTGGCCCTACTCTCTCACACACACCTAGGCCCTGTTTAGGAGTGATTTTGAGAATTGAGTTTGTGATCTTAGGAAAAAAGTGGAGACCACCTGTGAAAGAAGAAGTCAAACTTTACGGCTAGAATAGTGAAATAACGATCAAAAAATCAATTTTTTGGGATGAAAAATCACTCCTAAACAAGCTCCTAATTATTGCAAGCCATTTACAAACTATAGACTTTATGAAGTGTTTTTTTTTTAGCAAATTCAACTCTCCAAATGTTATGGGATAAATGTACTTGCAATACAGGGATGGACATAATCGAAGGTACATTTTTATGGCCACCTTATAATTCTTTTGTCTCATTGAACCCAGTTACAAGACCTCTGGTTCCCAAGTTGGATATTGTTATGAATATGGATCGCAAGATGTAACAATAATGAAATAAAGTAGAAAATAAATAACATAGAGATTTACGAGGAAATCTAATTCTAGAAAAAACCAGGGGTGGAGGATGAGAAAATTCACTATAATCAATAGGAATGTGTTTACAATATCAAGACTCAATGCACTCAATTAAATCTTAGCTCACAAGATATTGTAGATTTATTCTCTCAGGGGTTTTCCCCCCCATCAAGACTTAAGAAAACTCATACTTAAATACAATGGACAGCGTTTTATATTTATAGAGACGCCCAAAACCTAGTTGTAGACCAATAGAAGTCCAAAACGCATTAAAACTAGAAAAATTCGGAACTACCCAGATAAAACTGTCGCTCGAGCTACATCAAGCAGTGGCGAGCGACTCTGTTATCGCTCGAGCGAGAAGCGAATGACGATTGTTCTGCTCCAAATGCTCGAGCGTCCTGCTAGCGAAATTGCGGTGTATTTTTCTCCTGGTCCATATTTATGTTCTCTTCAAGATCATTTCAATTTTGACTCCTATAACCTCTGGAATTTGGGTCGCACTACAATAAATCTCCACCTTAAACTAAATTCCAAATGCAAGGAATTCCACATCTCCAAGTAAACACCACATCACATCTTCCAAGCCCCAAGGAGCTAAATCAATGACAAATACCTACTAAGTTCAAGCAATGCTCAAACTTAGTAATGGAAAGTGGTTTTGTCATCATGTCAGCAGGATTCGCCTTGGTATCAACTTTGCTCACTACAATGTCACCACCAGCAATTACTTCACATCAATATGCTTAGTTCTTTCATGGAACATTTGATCCTTAGTCAGAAATATAGCACTTTGGCTATCACAATACACTGTAGATATCTACAAGTCTTTATTGATTTCACTAATTAATTCTCAACCACATAGCCTCTTTACAAGCCTCAGTAATGGCCATGTACTATGCCTCTATTGTAGACAAAGCTACTGTATTCTGTAAAGTAGCTTTTCGGCTGATAGCAAAGCCTCCAAGAGTAAACACATACCCATTAAGTGATCTTCTTTTGTCAAGATCCCATATATAGTCTAAATTCACATATCCTATGACTCCTGAATTTCTTCCAAAATGCAGATAAGCATTTGTAGAGTCTTTCAAGTATCTGAGAATCCATCACTGCTTTCCAATGTTTATTTCCAAGATTTACCATGTATTTGCTAACTGCACTGACTGCATGTGCCAAATTAGGTTTTGTACAAATTATAGTAAACATCAGCGAACCAACTGCATTGAAATAAGAAACCCTAAACATATACTCAATATCTTCATCTGATTGCGGACACAATTCTGCCGATAATCTGAAATGTGTAGCCAAGTGCGTATTGACAGCCTTTGCATTCTGCATATTGAATCTCTGATGTACCTTCTTAATGTACCATTTCTGACTCAAGTACAATCTTCCAGTCTCTCCGTCTCTTAAGATTTTCATTCCAAGGATTTTCTTTACTGCTTCCAAGTCCTTCATCTTGAACTCTACTCAGTTGAGACTTCACTTTTTTTGACCTCTGCTTTGTCTTTGGCTACTATAAGCATATTATCAACATACAATAGCAAGTTTGTAACCGATCCACTACTTTACTATCATAATTACACCTTTCAAAACCATGATTAGTCATGAATGAATCGAACTGCTTATACCACTGCCTCGGAGACTGCTTTAGTCCGTACAAGGACTTCTTCAACAAGCATAAATAGTCTTCTTTTCCAGAAACTATGAACCCTTCTGATTGTTGGATGTAGATGTTCT